TAATTTCGGCTACTCGGAAGGCTGAGGCGGGATTGCCGGAGCCCAGCAGGTTGAGGCTGCAGTGGCCAGGCGCGGCCACTGCACTCCAGTCTGGGTGACAGCGAGACTCCAACCCCAAAAAAAAAAAAGAGTTTCAAGATGGAGAATGACATGATCAGTGGGTTTTAGAAAGACCATTCTGATGGCCTTCAGAGAATGAGGAGAGCAAGCTGGAGGCAGGGAGGCCAAGGGGGATGCCTGGCCTTGACCAGGCCAGGCCTAGTGCTACGAGGCATTGGAGGAGAAATAGAAATGGCATCCAGAGGCAAGAAGGGGGCTAAGTCCAAAGCCTGGGAACCACCAACACTTGAGAACAGTAAGTCAAGAACAAACACCCAAGAGAACAAGAAGGAATGGTCAAGAAGGAAAACAGGAAAGAACTGAGCCGTGGGAGCGCAGGAGAGAGAATGGTTCAAGAGGAAACGGTCAAAAGGGTCGAGGCCATTGAGAGGTCAAGCGAGATAAGGACTGAAGGTGCCCACTGATTTGGCCATCACAAGGGCAGGACTCAAGAGCAATTCTGGGTGGAAATAGATCCAGTCTGGGACAGGGCCTTATCCTGCTTGCCCTGGGGCTTGGGTTTCTGATGGGTGTTTTGGAGGGGTCCTTCATTTGTCAACAAGCTTCAGCCCAAGTCTCCCCCAAGTCTGACCACAGCAGTGCTCTGAACCATGTGATTTTCATGGCATAAGGTCCAGCCACCTTCCTCAGAGAGTTATCATGAAAGGACTCAGGGGACTACCAGGGTCCCAAGTCCCAATCCTGTCCCTGCCACTTGTGAGGGGTCTTGGGCCTTGGTTTCTCTGGGAGTGATGGGTCCATGGGGGCTCCACAATGACGTCTCTTACCTGGACTGCCCCAGCGCCCAGGTTCAAAGAGAGTAACACAGATGGCCGGGTCTCCACGTCCTCTGACTCACCCCCCCCCCCCGCCCCATCGCCTCTATGCAGGACTCACTCCCCGTCCAAGTGGTCTATTGTGTGAGCTCAGTTTCAATGGGAGCAGAAACTGGGTTGAGAAAAGAGATTATTTACCTATTCCACCGAGATGATGCCCAAGGAAATAGCACGGTCTGGTAAACGGAACCCTTGTCCTGCCCTCCTCCCTCCAGGCGCTGTTGCCCTGGACATATAACAGCCACCTCTCTGGGCACATCTCACACTAGATTACTGGCTCCAGACATGGGCAAGAGCATCTCCAGCCTCCAGCCATGAAGCTCACTGCCACCCTCTCCCTGGTCACACTGGCTCTCTTGTACAGCTCTGGTGAGTGCCGAGTCCTTTTCCCCCAAGGCTGGACGCTTGGTTTCCAGTACAACTTAGTTTTGCTCAAAAGAAAGGGTAAACTGCCCGCACCCTCTCTGGAACTGCTGGGTGTCCCAGGACTGCTGATTCTCAGAAAACTGGCTCTAATGAACATGCTCATCTTGGAAACATGAAGAAAGCCCCAAGGCTGTGGAGAATCCTGACAAGGGTCCCATCTTCCACATCCAACCTCAGAACTCCAGGGGATGGAACAGACCAGAGGGAGGGATGGAAGAGAACCTGCGTAGATGAGCACATCCAACAACAAATGGTATAGGAATAACGAGCCCCTTAGAGCCCATCCTTGGACAGACCCCAAGATGCCAAGAGACCTGGGAGCAATCTCCAGGTTTGGGGTCTCAGGGTTGGGGCCCCCACCCTACTCTGGCAGCTGAAGGAGCTGGAAGGGGAGCTGCAGAGATTCACATCCCCAAAAGAAATCCAATCCAAGGCAAGGTCCAAATCCAATCCGATGAGACATTCTGGGCAGAGAGGAAAATTCCAGAAAGGGATCTTCTCTTTGGGAAACTGCCAACCCAGAGTGAAGTTTTCTCAACATTTTTTTCCTCTGTAAAAAAAAAAAAAAAAAAAAATTAGGAGTCTCTTGAGTAGTTGCTGCTGTCACTAAGAGGAGAGGAATAGGGGAAGAGAGACAGAGGGAAGAGGGAGGGAGGAAGGGAGGGAAGGAGGAAGGCAAGAAGGAAGGCCCTTTCGCTTCAAGCTCCCTGTCTTTGGGGAATTCATTTCCCAAACTCTGATTTTCACTCTGTATCAGCTCCTTCTCCTCTCATCTGAAAATGCTGCTTTTTTTTTTAATAAACAAACCCCAATTAATTCACTTGGAAAATTTCTTAATACCCACAGAGATAAGTTTTATGGCCCTGGGGGATCAGAAAACCCAAACCAAAAAGCAGTGAGAACAACCATTTTGCAGAGAGTTTTGTTTTTCAGGGGAAATAATATAATTTTGGACTGAAATGTATGTTAATTAGAAGATCTCAGTGCTGTGTTTAGAGATGAGTGGCCTAGGAAGATTGGACTGAAATCTGTTAAGGGGTGGCTCAAGGACACGTTTGTATATTTGTGTGCGCACACATATAGTAATAATAATAGCAATAATAATATCAAATACTTATTTAACACATTGTACCAATCCCTGTTCTTTGTTCTTTTTTTTTGAGTTGGAGTCCCACTGTGTCGCCCAGGCTGGAGGGCAGTGGCACACTCCCAGCCACCGCAGCCTTGACCTGCTGGGCTCAAGCTATCCTTCCGCCTCAGCCTTCCAAGCAGCTGGAACTACAGGTGTGCGCCACCGTGCCCAGCTAATTTTTTGATTTTTTTTTTTTTTAATTTTTATTTATTGTAGAAACAAGGGCTTGCCAAGTTGCCCAGGCTGGTCTCGAACCCCTGGGTTCAGGCAATCCTCTCACCTCAGCCTCTCAAAGTGTTGGGATTACAGGCTGAGCCACCGTTCCCGGTCACCAATCTCTCTTCTTAACCCTTTCACATGCCATCTCTTTTCATTCTTACAACAACCCTATGAAGTAGGGATATTATGCCCATTTTACAGGTGAGAAAACTGAGCTACAGAAAGACAGAGTAACTTGCATGATGACACAATAAGCTGCAAAGCAATGGTCTAAGTTCTGGAGAAGCTCTGACTTAAAGTGGTCAATTCAGGTGGGGACCTGGAGTCTGAGCCCAGAGTCAACTTTGCACACAAGGCAAAGAATTCAAGGACAAGCGATTTGAAACTCAGTGGGAAGACAGAGGCAAGCAGGGAGAAAGGAAATAGTGACCTTCCCCCATGTTCCTGGTTGCATGGATCTGAGATGGGAGCACAGTCTAGGAGCACTTGGCTGAAGGGAACACAGTCGACAAGAGGCCTGTCTGTCCTCGAGCTAAGCACGCCATAGGGCCCAATGCCCTTGTGTGCACTCTACTTCCCAGCCAGGTTTAGGGGCCCATGTTTGCCTGGTACAAGTGCTTCTTCCTGCCAGCGCCTGACTTTGCCACATTCCCCATGACACATGGCTCAGACCTTCACTAATCACTGGTGAGAGGCAAGTTTCCAGGGAAAACCAAAACCCTCAGTGGCCTCTTTCCAGCCTACACTGCATTAAAAAATCAGATCAAGGCCAAGCATTGTGGTTCACACTTGTAATCCCAGCACTTTGGGAGGTCAAGGTGGGAGAACTGTTTACGTCTAGAAGTTCAAGACCAGCCTAGGCAACATAGCAAGACCTCGTCTCTACAAAAAAATCCAAAAATTAGCTGGGCATGATAGTACGCACCTGTGGTCCCAACTACTCAGAAGACTGAGGCAGAAGGATCGCCTGAGCCCAGGAGATCGAGCTGCAGTGAGCACTGATCGTGCCACTGCATTCCAGCCTGAGCAACAGAGAGAGACCCCAACTAAAAAAAAAAATCAGATCAGTAACTTCCTTTATCAATAGCCTGCCTAGCTAGAACTCTAGCAGAAAGAAAAACAGCACCTTGCCTTACCCCAACCCAGGAATTCCAAGGAAGACACAAGAAGGCCACAAAAAGCTGGCTGTAACCCAGAAAGTATTTAACACCCAAGAGTCAACTGCTTAGAGTATCACCATATCTTTTATCCCACTTGATGAAAGAGTTGCTATCTCTTGCTGCTGGGCCTGGTTGTTTGTATGTGGGACAGGTCCAGCCAGAGGGCTGGCCAGTTTGGAAAAGGGCCCGGGTACGTGTGCTTTCTCTTCTCTGTGCTAAACAGCTTCTGCAGAGATCTGCCCTGGCTTTCTACACATCATCGAAAACGTCTTCATGGGCACACTGTCCAGTTATGAGACTGCTGTGGAACCTTTCAGCCCTGATCAAGACATGAGAGATGCGGGAACCCAGCTGAAGAAGCTGGTGGACACCCTCCCCCAGAAGGCCAGAGACAGCGTCATTAAGTTCACGGTTACCAGTGTCCTTCAATCACACTGCTTAGAAGTGGCTCTGCCTCACTGGGCGTGGTGACTCACACCTGTAATTCCAGCACTTTGGGAGGCCAAGGCAGGAGGATTACTTGAGCCCAGGAGTTCAAGACCTGCCAGGGCAACATAGCAAGACCTTGTCTCTACAAAATATTTAAAAATTGGTTGGGAGTGGTGGTGCATGCCTGTGGTCCCAGCTCTTAGGGAGGCTGACTCAGGAGAATCGTTTGAGGCCAGGGGTTGGAGGCTACAGTGAGCTATGATCCTGCCACTGCACTCCAGCCTGGGCAACAGAATGAGACCCTGACTCAAGAAGAAAAAAAAGTGGTTTCCCCAATGTCCCTCATCTGCAGTGTCACCCATTTTTCTAACCTACTTCTAATCCTCAGAGAAGAGTCACAATGCCAGTGTCCCCTGGAAAGCAGGGACGGTGATCTTCCCAAACATTTTCCTTACCTTTTTTTAAAGAGGCTTTTGAGAAATAATCCCAGCCCTTACAATTTTAGTTCCTCCCAGACTTTACTGTACTTCTTAGTTGATGTTAAAGTTTCTGTGTATTGTTGTCTCTAACTCTGCGGCTTATTCACTAATGTGTTGAAGATTTTGTTTCTTTATTTGTTTTAGGAAAAAATAGTCAAAAGCTCACTGTGCAATTAGGATTTAGGAGTCTGAAGATTCCCACTGACTGACCCCCATGACTCCACACTTCCCTACCTGGCCATGCTCTCTTCAATAAATGACAAGCATCTCACTTTGGTACCCCTGCCTCTTTTTTATTTACCTGCTAGAGTTGGGGGGGGGCTTGCCCCACCAGGGTAAGGGGAGTCAGAGCAAAAGGAAGGCTGAGCCCTGACCCTGGACCCTGGAGAAAACTCAAGACTCTTCCAAAACTCCTTTCCTCTTGGTTTCTGCCACCAAAAGGGCTTAGACTTCCTCCCCTTATATCCAACCATCTACTCAACATCATTTTTTGAGATGGAGGGAGTCTCACTATGTTGCCCAGGCTGGTCTTGAACTCCTGGGTTCAAGCAATCCTCCTACCTCCCCCTCCTAAAGTGCTGGGATGACAGGCATGAGTCACCAGGACTAGCTATCTACCAACATCTTTTTTTTTTATTTTCAGTTTCTTTTTAGTTGGAATCTCACTCTGTCGCCCAGGCTAGAGTGCAGTGGCACACTCACGGTCACTGCAGCCTCAACCTGCTGGGCTCAGGTGATCCTTCTGCCTCAGCCTTCCAAGTAGCTGGAACCACAGGCATGTGCCACCACGCCCGGCTGACTTATTTTTGATTTGTTGTAGAGACGAGGTCTCACCATGTTGCTCAGGCTGGTCTCAAACCCATGAGCTCAGGCAATCCTCTCACCTCCACCTCCCAAAGTACTGGGCTCACAGGCATGAGCCACCATACCTGGCCATCTACCAGCATCTTAAACTCGACTTGTCCAACAGAACTGACAACCCTCGCCCCAGTCTATTTCTTATCTCAGTGGTTCTGACTTCATCCTCCCTGCTGGGCTGCTGCCTGACCCTTCTGTCTCCAGCCAACCAAGGCGAACTCTAAAGGGCCTCCGGAGTTGTCCGCTCACTCCATGTCCACGGGCCACACCCCCATCCCTGCCTGCACTGCTCCGGGAGCCTCTTAACTGACTCCCTGCTGGGCGCAAGTGTCCTACAGTCCAATGCAAGTCACCTTCCACTGCCCAGCCCAGCCCCATCCTTCAAAGCTTCCCAGTGCCCAGGTGTCCTGCCACTGGCTTTTGCCTGCCCCCCTCTTTCCCACAGTACCCTCACTCTGCTTGATCTCCTTCCACTCCTCACCTCCCCTGCCCTCAGTTTTCAAAAAGAGCCAAGCTCCTTCCCACCTAAGGGCCTTTGTACAAGCCACACAGCACCAGAGGCTCAAACCCATGAAATACTATGCAGCCATAAAAAAGAATGAAATCATGTCCTTTGCAGCAACATGGATGGAGCTGGACATCATCACACTAAGCAAACTGACTCAGAAACAGAAAACCAAACACTGCATATTCTCACTCACACAGAAACCAAACAGTCACAAAAATGGAAACAATAGACAGACACTGGGGACACCAAGAGTGGGAAGGGAGGTTAGGGTTCAGAAACCACCTACGGGGCACAATGTTCACTATCTGGACTGCATAACAAGTCCATGTAACGAATATGTATATGCAACCCCTGAACATAAAAGTAAAAATACATTTTAAAAAAAAACATTGTTGACTGGCTTTAAAAATCATTCTTGAAGCTGGGAGTGGTGGCTCACGCCTGTCCAGGGATTCAAGACCAGCCTGGGCAACTTGGCAAGACCGTCTCTACAATCAATCCAAAAATTAGCAGAGCATGGTAGCGCGTGCCTGTAGTTCCAGCGACTTGAAAGGCTAAGGCAGGAGGATCGCCTGAGCCCAGCAGGTTGAGGCTGTAGTGGCTGTGGGCGTGCCACTGCACTCAGCCTGGGCAACAGAGTAAGACTCCGACTAAAAAAAAAAAATCACTCTTAAGCAAAACGTGCAAACTAGATCTCATCAAAGATACCTCCCATGTGGATATAAAACCTCCAAAACACCCCCTTGTCCCCATAGCAGCCGGCCCGGGACCGGGGCCACACCATCCTCAGCAGGTGAATTAAAGTGAAGGTCGTGCAGAGGGGTGGCAGAACTGGGAGGGACGTCGGCAGAGGACACGGGAGGAGGTGGCTGGTGAGAGACGCCAAGCTCTCCAGTCCTGGCACCTCCAAGGTGGCCCGGCCGGGACCTGGAGCATCGAGGTCACTAGGGGGCAGTGTCGGCCACGGGGTCTCGGAGCGGGACCCTGATGGAGCCCTGCAGGCCAGGCTCTGCGGCTCTTGTGTCATCTGTATATTTTTTAAATCAGATTTTTTTGAGGGTTTTAAAATCAGAATTTTTTTTTTTTTGAGTCGGAGTCTCACTCTGTCACCCAGGCTGGAGGGCAGTGGCACGCTCCTGGCCCCTGCAGCCTCGACCTGCTAGGTTCAGGTGATCCTCCAGCCTCAGCCTTCTTTCAAAGTAGAACCCCAGGCCCGCACCATCACACTTGTCTATTTTGTTTATTTATTGTAGAGGCAAGGTCTCACCAAGTTGTCCGGGCTGCTCTCGAACCCGCAGGCTCAGGCAATTCTCTCACCTCAGCCTCCCAAAGTGCTGGGATTATCGGCGTGAGCCACCGTGCCCGGCCTTAAATCAGAATTCTGAGGAAAAACAGAGACAGTCACACAAACCATGTTGCCTCCTGGGTGAACCCTACCAGTGATGTGTCAGCCCTTTTGGGATTAGCAATAATTCCATTCCCAGTCGATTCTAAAGGCGAGGCCCACAGAAGCTAGAACCTGACAATGGCCCCAACGTGGGAGGATTGAGGGGAGCTGGTGGAGCTGACCTTTGACCTCCACGATCCCGGCTTTTAGTCTCCAGGCAGAAATCACAACCTAATAACCTTTATTGATTGCTTACTCACTGGGCAGGCATTTTCCCAATTTTGCCTTTATTCCTCACACCACCCAGATTCCAGAGTCCAGACCCCAGCCCCTGTCCTGCAGGTTGTGGGATCCCCAATTCGGGAATCACCAGAGGCAAAAAATCTAAGTGACAGGGATGAGAAAAGTCCATCTACCCATAAAACACACACTTACGTCCACACAAACTATAAAGCCACCCCGTGTCCCACCCTTCATTGTCTGCCACGTAGGAGGGGCTCTGGTTGTAAACATTCCAGAGCAGGTCAAGGGGATTGGCGATTCCAAAAGAGATGCTTTGCCATGGGTGGGGCCTGGATGGGGCCTCTTGCCTCCCTCGCCTCCCCCACCCCCTCCCTGGTAAAGCACCAGATTCTTCCACATCCAGGTCACCTGCAACACGACATACATTTGCCTCAGGTAGCCTATCCATCTAGAGGAGTATTGTTCTAATGGTTAAAATTCCACGGCTGGGGGGCTCGGTGGCTCAGCCTGTAAACCCAGCACTTTGGGAGGCCGAGGCGAGAGGATTGTCTGAGCCCACGGGTTCGAGACCCACCCGGGCAACTTGGTGAGACTTCGTCTCTACAATAAATAAATTTTTTTCTTTTTTTTTTGAGTTGGAGTCTCACTCTGTTGCCCAGACTGGAGTGCAGTGGCCGCTTCCGGCCACCACGACCTCGACCTGCTGAGCTCCGGCGATCCTTCCGCCTCAGCCTTCCACGTAGCTGGAACTACAGGTGCACGCTACCACACCTAGCTAATTTTTTAAAAATTTACTGTAGAGATGAGGTCTCGCCAAGTTGCCCAGGCGGGTCTCACACCCGCGGACTCCGGCAATCCACTCACCTCAGCCTCCCAAAGGCGCGGGATTACAGGCTAGCCACCGAACCCGGCACAATAAATAAATTTTTAAAAAATTAGCTAGGTGTGGTGGTGCATGCCTGCAGTTCCAGCTACTGGGAAGACCGAGGCGGAAGGATCACTGGAGCCCAGCAGGTTGGGGCTGCGGTGGCAGGGAGCAGGCCACCGCCCTCCAGCCTGAGTGACAGAGTAAGACTCCAACTCAAAAAAAAAAGCTCCACGGTCATAAAGGTTTAAGAATTTGAATTGCCTGATCACTGCCAGGGAAACATTTACCTAGGGCAAACACAACGCAGGTATCTGAGGATAAAACTAAGAGCAATTATGTGTCAGTGAGTCTGGGGTCTGGGGATGACACCATAGGAATCCCTGCGGGTGACTCACAAGAATGTGGGCTATGTCAACACACAAAATGTGTGCTCAGTTTTAAAAGAGCCGAATGCAAAGATAAACTGATTGCAATCACCGGAAAAGCACGTATCTCTGTGATGCATGTTGACAGAAAGCAGAGGGAAATTAGAGAAATGAAGGAATATTCACTGGGGTTCCCTTCTGCCTGCGTGTGGTTACTCACAATAGTTAATCACACATTGTAGCATGGGTCTGCAGACTATAACCAATAGGCCAAGCTCAGGCTGTGGCCTATTTTTAAGCAAACCTCAAGCTAAGAATGGTTTTTACATTTGAAGAAGGAGGAGGAATAGGAGGAGAAAGAGAAAAAGTTTGGCCCTTTCCGTGTCATATAAATATATGAAAGGGACCCAAAAACACTGGAATTTTTAAACTAAAAATTATATGTTTATGCTCACATGTTTAAACTTCAGTCACCTTCAAAGTACTCTCCGTTTGATGCAATGCACCTATCGAGACAATGTTTCCACTGCTCAAAACAGTTTTTGAACTTGTCAGTGTTGATGGCTTTCAGTGTCTCTCCCATTTTTTGTTTCGCCTCTTCCACATCGGCAAAGCGTTTCCCTTTGAGGACTTTTTTCATGTTGGGAAACAAACAAGAAAAAGTTGCCTGGGGAGAGATTGGGTGAATAAGGAGAGTGGAGCACCGGGGCCATGCCATTTTTGGTCACAAGCTACTTAACACTCAGCACAGTATGGGCAGATGCGCTCATAAATCATCCATCGTGAAATGAGCAAATGAATTGGAAAAAAAATCTCCAAAAGAAAATTCACCAAAGCTGAATGCAGCCTCTCACAACAGTGTACGCTAGCTGGTACACTGATGCCAATGGATTCCTAGAACACTTACCTAGCTGGGGAAGACCACTCTCCAAAAAATAATTCTAGGTT